TTTTCAATTTATGAATAAAATAAAGCCTGTGGTAAACATAACTTGACTATACTTCTACATTTTGTTCTACAATATAAACTGCACACACTCACAGCCTAAACCTTCTTATCTAGCTACTTATTAAAAACGTTATAAAATACGTTTTCAAAAATGAACATAACTGCTTCACAATTTGTATTTTGGGTATGGATGTGTGTCATTTACGTTGTACAATAAAACGTAAAAGTATCGTCAATTTATGTTTACCACAGGCTTTATTTTAATTGAAAAACCCCATTATAAAACCCCATAGGAAAATCTAGAAGGAACCCACGGCGAATTACTCTTCCGGGTTCTGACTTTATAGTTGCCCACACTATTGGCAGTAAATATAAATGTCTACTTTTAGTCTCTGAAGTTAAAGTTAAAGTTTTACCCTCTGTGCTTATTCCAGGAGGAATTGGGCGAGAATCCTTCTGTGAGATGATGTGGCTTCTTACACAGAATAAGGCACGCAACATATTTCATAGTATTTAAGCAGTGATAAAGGCATTGCATTATAAATATACTTTAATGAAAATTATAATAATAAGAACTCCGATAAACCGTATATTGTATAGACACAGCTGTGCGTGTGTTTTTTATGCATAAGTGTATTTTTTTAGTTAGTATTTGTATTTAATAAAGCACTACTGCATTAAAATAATTGGTAAATGAAAAACATTACATATGATAAACAATAATGTTAAGTACACTGCACTTAAATATTAAGCAAAAATAAATTTAAGCTTTTTAGTTTGACTTAATTGTTATTTATAATTAATATTAACTTAAAAAATTTGAGTTGCTAAATACATTTTTTTTTTTTTTTTTTAGGTAATCGGTGTCCACAAAAATTTTGAGTATTCTGAACTTATCGGGTTTTACAGTGTGAACAAAAATCTAAAAACTGAATCAAAAAAAGTCAATTTCAAAATTCTTGTTTAATTTTTTTTTACATATTAGAGTCAAATGTTTTTACAGAGGGAATTTTGGGTATCTCATTTTTGTCACTCCATAATTCAGAAAATACTTTGAACAGACAGAAAACAATTGATTTTCACAATTTTGGGGGGAATAAAACGTTGTATATAATCAAGCAAATTATATATAAACAAATCCCTCTGTAAAAACCTTCAGGATATAGACAGGAATAAAAATGTAAAGTTTGGTGTGTGTAAGTGCTACTGAAGTGGAGATTTATGGCTCAGTGTAGGAGAAAAAACTCCTAGATAAAGTGCTTTAAAAGAAACACTTAACAGTGTATTTTGGATGTTTCTTTCCACTAGTCTGAAAAAAACACTTTATGAAAAACCAAAAAGCCCCAAATCTCAAACTTGATACGTGCATGAAAAAACAGTGTTTTTGCCTGCAGTGTCTCCCCTTAAAGAAATAGTTCACCCAAAAATTAAAATTTGCTAAAAATGTACCCTCAGTCCAAGTTTGTTTCTTTATCAAAGAAGATGTGTAGAAATTTAGCATTACATCACTTGCTCATCAATAGATCCTCTGCAGTGAATGGGTGCCGTCGGAATGAGATAAAAAAAAAAATTAAAAAAAAAACGTCATAATATTTATCTATATATATATATATACATGTTGTTTCAAAACGTCTTTGAGGAAGAAACAAACTCATCTACAACTTAAGTGGACTGAAGGTTACGTTTTCAGCAAATTTCATTTTTGGGTGAACTGTTCCTTTAAAGACGGCAAGCCTCTGTCCTCCGACAACCAACACATTTGTTTTATGTGCCAACAGCCACTGAACTATTTAGGGATATCAGTCAGGATTAAAACAGAATGGAAGGCGCAGCTCAGATCTATTCAATGACCTACTTGAAACTTTTCCTCCGAGTTTTGTTCTATAGGCCTAATGTCAAAATATAGCCGCTGACTTTCCATAAGACTGAAATTCCATTGAAAAAGCACTGTTGATCTACTTTGTCCTGTTGTCCTGGTTTACGGTTTATATGTGCAGAGTAATCTTTTAGTACACATGTCAAATTACACCCAAAATAAGGAAACATTAAAAAATTTAAAATGTTGCAAGACCAAAAGAGGAACACAGGACAATCACCCAAAAATACAAAAATTATGACAGCATGGAAATCTGCGTATACCTAAGATAAATATTAAAAATGACCTTTAAACCTTTGCTGTAGACTGACAGCAAATTGCTATTGGCCAGCTCAGCAGAAAAAGTTTCATCACTGACAGGTCAAAGGCTGATATAGATGGACGTGAGTCTGGCCTATTGCTCACTGACTGAATGAATAGAGGACAAACCTGAAGGTGAAACGATCATTTCTAGCCTTATGAAAAAAGCCCTCAAAACACTCAAACATTATTAAAAAGTATCACCTTTAGGAATCAGTATTCTGGGAAACATAACATATAGCAGAACACACAAGCTTATAAGACTCTACTTCTTGGTTAGAATCCTTAGAACAACATTTTCAGAATAGAACCTTAAGAAAAAAGATATTTAAGAATAGAATTTATTAACATAAACTTAAAAACAGAATCTTTTGAAAATAATCATTGTCTGAATTAATTTCAAATCATCAGACCGCATTTTGCAGATCATGCAATGTGTTTTATGAACATATTTATATGCTGGCGTCAGTTACAGTAAACGAATAATTCTGCAAAGCAGCGCAGAGACCGTCTATGTGTCATTCTATTAAAGCGTCTGTTCAAATCGCTAGTTGAATGAACAAGCAACGCCAGGTTAAATGAGTATTTGTACATGTAGTCATAACTATGTGCAGAATAAATCACTATTATCAGACGCTGTAAGCAGACAGACAGCAGATGCGTCACGCAACACTACGTTCTTCTGCTGGTCACATCACGCAGTGGAGGAGAAACGTAGAGATCTGCGATCTGTTACCTGGTTTCGGCTCACAAGCAGTTGTTTAGTGCTCGCTGCTCGGAGTCCTATCACAGCCGCCTGACATGCCATGGATGCCGCCATGTTGAACCGGAAGTAAGTCCTGTAGCGCTGACACGTGTGTGAGGAGTGACAGTGAGCGTTGGCTGAGGTCTTCAGAAACCTGTAAGTGAACCAAAGAACAGGATTGGACTAGTTACACTGCAACATTAGCTAATTTACCTCCCTAGCCGGTGGGACAAAAGTTCAAATATCTGGTTGTATACAAACGTGTTCTTAAAATGTTCTTATATAAATACAGATAATTCCGCAAATGTAGACAATTACATGAATACGACAATTTACGTAAATATTGTTATGGAAGTGTACTTGAATAGCTGTTGAATAATTAAATTTTATGTAATATAATACAATGTATTCAAATAATAAAATACGTCCCCTCCCATCAAAGGACAGCCTATAAAAATCAGTCAGTAATTCTAAGAATAATAAAATAATATTTTTCTGTTTATTTTAGTTTGTCATCATTTTTCTGTTTACTAATTACTGACAAAATACATTTTTTTCTGTTATTGCCAAAAGTCTGAATATATTAGATAATGTAGATTACTATTTTTAAGGATGACAATTTGAATAGCTGTTGAATAATGGAGCTTATAAAGTTATATTAATAAAAAAAAAACTATCAAATATATTTTTCTTTACATATATTATTGCCAAAAGTATGCTCTTTCGGTTTGTTTTTGTTCATTTATTATAAACATAAAGATAAAATCTAGATACTTTTGCCAGTTATGTATTTATTTATTCATTAATTTTGAGTACGTTTGAATACTATTCAGTCTTTTTGTGTGTTTAGGTTATTTACATACTATTTAATCATGTCAGCACTGATTTCATCATGTCAGCAGATAAAGAAGACCAACACAAAAGCAGGATCATTATGTGAACGCCATGATGTTTGATGGGTTGGATCGGCTGCATAGCAGGTTCCCAAACTTGGTGGCATGTTTCTTTAGCGTTGATCAAAGGGAGGAGGTTTGATTCTCTCTCACACATACACAGAACCTATCTATCTTTTCTCACTCTCTTCTCGACTCTCTAAAAGCACTCATTACTCTCTGACATTGTGAAAGGGCAGGAAGGGCAAAATGATCATAAAAAGCTGTGATTATGACAGAGAGACATTTGCTTTAAACTGATGTGTGTCAGCAGAAACCTATTCAGAGAGGATGATGAACAACTCCTAGAACATGTGAGCGTCTCTCTCCTTCCCTCATTTTTTTTTTCACAATACGGTCACATAAACAAGCCTCTGCCCCTTCAATACATTCAAACCAAAACATGCAGATATTGACATTTTGCAATGGCAGAAGAGCCACTATTGCCTTTTTTATTGTCATATATTTATTTCAACCCAAGCTTATTGGAAAAATGTGCCTGCGACGACATTTCTGCAAACAGATTACGCTGGTTCTTGCACGTTTCGCAACACTTTTAAAATGTCCAGTGAATGATGCTAAAGGTACGTTTTTATCTTAAGTTTTATCCGAAACAGATGAACATGAATCTTGCTATGTTTTATTATGCTGGTTGTTGTAAATATCATGGCAGTTAAATGTCCGGTTAATGCCGCAAAAAGGTAGATTCTGTATCGCGTTTAAAAATAATGTACCACCTACACTAAACCTTACCCTAAACAGTGTTGGGGAAAGTTACTTTTAAAAGTAATGCATTGCAATATTGCGTTACTCCATAAAAAAGTAACTAATTACGTTACTTAGTTACTTTTTATGGAAAGTAATGCGTTACGTTACTTTTGCGTTACTTTTTAAATCTGGACAGGGCTTGCTTGTTTCCTTTTAAAATAAAAAAGTAATATTTTTGGCAAATATAAAAGCCTTTCACACCAAAAGTGAAATGAATAAGCCTCAGGCTGAAGGAAATGTAAAATTACGTCCGTACAGTAGAATGCAGAAGAAATTTCAACACACTTCAGCAATAAAAAAAAGACACACGAATGTTTGTCTAGAGTAATTTTTGCTTATTAGTACGGTTGAACTGGATCATCGAAGGTCAGAAGCAAAGACATTGCTTTATAGAATGGGATTAAATACATAAAGGATATTTGTGTTGTTTAACATTTAATTATTGCAGGTTTGCATCATATTCTGAGTTGTATTATTTTTATTCATTTTGAGGAATACTGAATCATTTTTTTATTGTGTGAGTGAGATGAATTAATGCATATTCATATTTATTTTAGAACTAGAGTAACATCTTCTGATTTCTCTCAACATGGGACAGGAGAGCTGTCAATCAATAAACTGCAAAAAAAAAAAGTAACTTGCGTTACTTATTTGAAAAAGTAACTCAGATATTCTCTTGTAAATTAAAAAGTAATGCGTTACTTTACTAGTTACTTGAAAAAAGTAATCTGATTACGTAACTCGCGTTACTTGTAATGCGTTACCCCCAACACTGACCCTAAACATAACCAATAGCGTTAGCTAGATAAAGAAACGTGAGATTTTACCTCACTTGTACAAGTTTTTGATTTTATTTTTTTTACTTTTACTGTTTTGCCAGACTTATACCGGAGCTTTTCGCATCGCAAATGCCATACTATACCAGGTGGGTTACCGAGCAAGTTTACTAAACCAGAAAAGCAATACATATGCAGCTGGTTATGTGATGCAAAAATCAAAATGTATTGATTTAGAAATGTTAAAACCGTTTTAACATCACAAATTGGAACTGAACAAGAAAACCATGCAAGAATGTCTATATTTTAGGATCATTTTTGTGAAAAGGTATGAAAGTTGTTGGTGTTTCAGCTGGAAAATGCAGGGAATTATATGTATAAGTGGGTATGTGTTTGTATTTTTTCAAAGATTCAGGTATAGGCACGTTTTTCAATGAGCTTGGGTTGATTTATTTCACAAATTACCTGGATTTATTTTTATTGTTTTATTTTGTGCTGGCCTATTCTTTTCCAGCTAGTTTTTAATGGGAAGAGATCCATATTTTCATCGTGAGGTATATTTTTTACCTCTCACCTTTTTTAAATCCAGCCGTCGTACACAAACAAAACTTGCACACTATGCACAATATTCCCAATCTGTCGACCAAGCTGTCTTTTTGAGGGAGGATGTTTGTTTCATGGTATAAGAGCTCTGTATTATGGTAATGAAGCTGACCTGATCTTAGATGTTTAATAAAGGACGAGGATTCTCCTCAGTCCACCGAACAAAGCTTTTTGCTTCTCATACCACATTGATATGCAGCGCTTATTCAAACATTTATGCTGCGGTCACATTTTCCACAGAAGCATTTTGTATTTAAATTTGAAAATGTTTCGACTGCAAACTTTTCCAATACAGCGGTCGGACCTCATGAATGCCATTTATTGTTTCAGGCTATCATTCCCGATCCCATGCCATTGTTCCTGTTTCAAATACTTCTCCAGTCTTTCGAAAGCCATCCAAGAATCTTCCACCTTCTTTCTTTCTGTAGAGAATGTGTTTCATGCCCAACTTCCCTCGAGATGTGAAAACCCCAGATGTTGCGCTGCAGTGACAACACCTCCTTTGCTTTCAACTCTGTGAGCAGGGTGCAAGAGCTTGTGAATTCGTTCATAAGTAGTAGATTCTGCTTTCATTTCTTCTCAGTTTCTCCTCGGCTGGGCCTAAGAGCGTCAGATATCCAAAGCCAATGCCTGCCTGAGGACGGTGGGGCCCGTTCCATCCTTTCTTATACAAGCAGCCCAGTTAGAGGCCGTGAAGCTTTCCTGCGTGAGCTTTAGATCTCAAGGCAGCCTCTCGGTATGATCAATGTGTTTAACCCCTGCGTGCAGGTATAGCTTTATGGATCTGCACTTTGAAAGCGAAAACATCTGGCCCCTCATTGGACATCAGTGTGACTCTAGGACAGCTAGGATCTATTGGCTATCTCATTAGCTAAAGGAGAAAGAGGGAAAGGGCGAAGGACGCCTAATTTCCCTTTCTTTCACAGTCTGGTTCTCCAAACACCGAAGCCCTGAAGCACGCTAAGCCTCTTACCTCTCTCCGTCTCTCTCTTTGTCCTTCTCAAACCGGTTCTGAAGTCTTTTCTGCTCCCCTTCACCCTAACCCACTTTAAAAGCTATTCTCCTCCAGCTCAATGCAAATAAGGCCATTTCATTTTACTATGCTGGCAGTACGTCTCCCACTAAAAGGAATGGGAAGCGGTGGCACACTCCATCTGTGCGCGGGATGTGGTACCTTTTAATGCCGTGGCGATTTTTCTTTTAGAGTATTACGACACTGAGCAGTGAGCACTGAGGACTGTGAATATTTCTGAGGTACTGCTAGTATATAAAATGTATTATAATCTGCAAATGGCTTTGAGTTCACATTCAATTTCATCATCAGTTTGTGTGGCTTTAGACGGTCGTAAGAAAGTCTTGTCTTTTTACCAGTGAAAACAGAATATGATGCAAAGAACTGAATGAATGCATGTAACTGCTGAGTCGACAGCTCAGTCCTAGTTGCAGAAAGCATAAACTCGTCATCTGAGGGAAAAATCGAATCCATCCTATTGCTAATTTTCATGTTTTTAGAGAGAGAGAGAGATGTCCTTTAAATTTGTTCAATATTCTATCACAAATTAATTTTAGTAATATAATATCATCATTTATAATATGAGGTAGTATGATATGATTCAGTTAATATTATGATTTTGGTAACACTTCATTTTAAGATTACTAGCATATTACTAGCATATTGCCTGTTTATTAGTACTTATAGGCACATATTAATGCCTTATTCTGCATGACCATGTTCTAGATCCCTTAACCCAATACCTAAATTTAACAACTACCTTACTAACTATTAATAAGCAGCAAATTAGGAGTTTAATGAGGGAAAACTCTTAATTAATAATGAATATGTGTTCCCTATTCTAAAGTGTTATAAATAAAAAGTTATAAAAAGTGTTTAAATGCTATACATTTTACTTAGATAAGAATATATAACAAATATAAAATAATGGGCAAAATGATGACAAACTGTGATAGACTAATTTGAAAATAAATGTGAACTTTTTAAACATTTCAAACATTAAAAAATTGAGTAAACATTGATTAATTTAAACGTGTATCAAGCATATAAAAGA